CCTGTCTCCACTGCCAGTAGTGTATATCTCGGATATAGTAACCACGGTCATGGTCTATCTAATGCAAGGCCCGTACTAAAACACTCTCTCTTGTCTCACAACGCCGAAGACATGGTACCCCATCAATGTAGCCTACTGTCGGACTATTCATGGTCCGGTTCTGCCTAAATCTCACGCAATACTGGATACCAGCTGTCGTACTCTGGCCCAAGTCTTCCACGTAGTCCCAGACGTACCCTAGTCGCTCAATAGCTTGTGTGAGAATGGGCTGCATGCCACTTGCAGCATAGATGAAATCATAGAGCAAATTCTGCAAGCGAACAAACAAAAAATATCAGGAAGCGCTCATATAATAATAAGAATAAATAAACATTACTCTGATATCATACATGACGCATTTGGTTGAATGTCGCATGCCTTTCGCTTACTCGCGACACGTCCAGATTATGCTCACCTAAAGCTTCTATCTTCAAGGACGAGAAATCAGACATACGGTAGCCAATTCGCTCAATTGCCTGTAAACAAAGTAGCACAACATCGATCTAGGCGCTGTCTTGGTCGGCATTTGTCGTCTAGCCTGCACGATGTCTTGGCGCATAGCATCATTGTACCTAACGAGGATGTCGAAGGTGAGATTACATGTCCATAACTCGCCACCTTCATCATTGACGACCTCACTTGTCGTCGTCTCGAAGATGTCCCACACCCCGAGCAGTCATAGTGCTGATTCCAGCCACTTGACTGATTTTATAGTCTGTGACATATGCAACAATCATATTATAAATGAATGTATATATGTAAAAATTATATTAGCACGTAAAACTTAAAATATTACATACTATTGATGGGTCTGGGTAACGCGGAACGGCCCTATCTGACGATGGCGCGAATGGAAGATCGCCATGGGGGAAATCTGGTTCCTGTGGCGGGGGAAGTCCGCCGCCGTTCATCATAACTAAAAAACTGAAAAAACGTCCCAATTAATATAGAACCCCCATATAAATATACCATGCAACAATATATATTGGAAAAACATATAAAAAATAAATCATCAATATATATATATGTATATATATATATGTATGTATGTATGTATGCATGCATGCATTTGCACCCTACTTGTTGGCACATATTTTTTTAACGATTATTAACTCTCGTCAAGAACTAATGTTGCTAACAAAGATCTAGAAAATTATAAATATTTATGGTTACGTAGAAATAATGTATAAATAAAAATAAAATCCACCATTATTATTCCTAATTAAAAAACCACATATTTCGATGTTTATTACTAAACCATGAAATGATCTACATTATTAGCAATGAAAGATTAGAAGATAAAGTTGCTAACCTTTAGAAGATTGAAGATGAACTAAGCCGGCGGCCAAGAGCAAGAACTTGCTCCCTCAAGCAAGAACACGGATAAACACACGCGCACAAGCAAAGACCAATAATTAAACTGATATCTCGGGCTAGGAGACCTAGTGGAACCGTATATATAGTGGAGTCTACCGGGACTAAAGAGTCAACATTTAGTCCCGATTGAAGCCACCACCCGGAATAAAATACCATCGAGACCTTTGGTCCTTGTTGGTGGTTCCAACCGGGATGGGAAGTCGACCTTTAGTTTCGGTTGGAGCCACAGACCAGGACTAACCCTCTTGGAAAAGTCTGCTGCACTAGCTGTTGAGCGGAAGATTCTAGTCCCGATGGGTGGCTCAAACCGGAACTAAATCACCTATTAGTCCTAGGTCCAATTCCAGCCAGGACTAAAGCCAAAAATCGAAAACCTCTTCTCTACCTCTGAGCACATCCAACCTCAGACATTCGAAATCTCAAACGTCTGACGTCGCTGCCTGGAGCTTCGAGTGCTGCTAACTGTAGCAACACGAGCGCCTGGAAAAAGCTCTCCCATTCCGATCCCCTTTGCCATTGCCAGTGTGCATGCATGCTGTCGTGGCCAACAAGACAAACAAACACATCCGATCGATCGATGGATCAACTGCGGAATATCGTGCATATGCATGTATGACACGCTATTGATGAGCGCAGTAATAATGCCACGATCAAACATACAGGAGTAGGACCAGTACTGGATGACATGCATGCATGCATCGATCCGGATTAATTTTTTTCGATCTACCTACCTTTTTGTATGCATTTGGTCATCAGTTGGATCCATACAGAACACCGTACCTTAGTGCCCCTACCATTGTTACAGCTTATGTAGATAGATACAAAGAAAAAAGACAGTTGCTGTCTTTACCATGCATAGATCATAGTAATTTTGTTCAGCTTGTTTTTAACCTAACTAATACATACTCCCTTTTCTTTCCTTTCTTTTTTTTATAGGGGGTATTAGAATTTGGTATGATCAAAATTCCAAAAAAACTAAATGGTAACTAGACAAAGTATATGTTTTTAAAGTATTAATTTTTTTAATCAATATATTTAACATTTCACATATATTTGAGGATGATAATGATTTTTTAAACGTCTGATAATATATTGTAGTGTGAACCGAGTGATCTCAGCTTCTTTGTGTGATACATGGAACCTATATCCACTCATGTTCAAGTCACTGACTTGGCAGATATGCTTGTATTTTTTTCCTACTAATTCTTTGCATACATACAAGATTCTGCATATATTAAGCAAAAAAAAAGGTACATGGTAGGTGATTTGCCTTTTGGTGTCATGTATGACCATCTCCTTTATTGGGCTGTCGCTATCGCTAAAATTGCTCTTGTTTTGTCCGAAAACGACTAGAATTGCTAGCGCTTGTTAATTAAGGCACAATGATTTGCTATTTAAAATAGCAATAATTGACCAGGTGAAGGACCATTCATATTTCTTTGGAAATATTGCACTGTCCACTACTACTCCCCAACGACCACAAATATGTGACGTTTGAGATTGTGTAAACTCAACGATTTCAAACTTCAACTATACTATTTTTGTTATATTTATTATCTATAAAATATAGTGATGCATACTTTTGTTTTTAGCGCATGTCTATTTGTGCCATTGCCAAACATCCAAACTAACACGTAAACACTAATTTGTAGTCGAAGTTTAGTATGGTAGAGTTCAAATAAACAACCCCCAAAAATGTCACTTATTGTGACCGGAGGCTTTTGTTGGAAAAATAAACAACCCCGTATATATATTGCCCCATTTGATTTGACTATCTATATACCAAGAATCTTGTAATCGTCACTAAGTATAGTCCTCTTGATGATTTCTCCTACATTGAATTTGAGAGCCAGTATTTTTGTAATGTAGTGACAATATGAGTGTATGGCCAAAATCAACTTAAGGAACGGTGTTATGATCTTAATGGAAATATAAAATTCTCGATGACACATTTTAAGACCTCTCTAGGAAAGCGGAAATATAGCATTGCTTGGCACCAGAATCGAAAAAAATTAAGCTTGTCATGTGTTAATGGGATCAAATGGCAGCGAGGTTATGAGGATTCATATAAGGGGGCAATATGTATGCATAAATTAAATTAAGTTAGCAAAAATATAAATTATCTGAAAAGGCTCAAAGGGATTTTAGTAGTTTCCTTCTCGGTCGGGAAATGTTGGATTGTAGTTAGTTATCAATTTCCATTTTAATAGAGTAGTCAGCAAGTTGTTATGCACACTAACTAAAATGCCTCTTTGTACAAAGACTGAATGCGGAAGTTATTAGATTGGTGAATAAAGAACCAATGAGGTTTGTGAGGATTGATACAAGACTATGGCGCCGTTCGGCTTACTGAAACTTGGCTGAATTGGCTGAAAACACGATTCTGGCTGAATTGTTGTGAGAGAAAAATACTGTTCCGGCTAAAAAAACAAGCTGAATAGTGCAGATTATAAGGTAAGCCAAACGGAGCCTATAAGGGCTCGTTTGGTGCGTCTCCCGCACCGACTCCTCCACGAGCTCCGGCACGGAGCCACGGAGCCGCACCAAACACCATGCGGGTGAGGAGCGCTTCTGGCTCCCAACCAGAGGAGTGGGAGCCCGAAATAGTGGCTCCGCCTCGGGGGCTCCGGCTCTGACACTGGAACCGTGCTGGAGAAACCCTCCCAAATGGGCACTAAGAGTGAGGTAAACATTTAAATTAAATCAGGTTGGCAAAAAGAAATTATATGTAGATAAATGGATAAAAATGTCATAAGGATTTTATCAGTTTCCTTAACGTCTGAAAAGCACCTAGTTATGATTTGTTAACGATTCTATTCACGCACATAACCCATACGTTACATGAATATTCAACAACAAGTTTGGGTAAGGGAGATCTTTTGTCGCCTCTCGATAGGATCACGTATCACGTATGCGCACCAACTAAAAATGACCCTTTATAAAGAGAGTAGACATGGAAGTCATTAGATTGACAATCGAAAACTATAGGTTACTAAATAAGCTGAAAAAATCCAGCTGAAAGTTTTATTAGAAGTTTCCTTTGGAGGAGAAGCCGCACACTGTTGCTAGTCCTATTTTGTCCAAGCACACCAAATCCATACGTTAGGAAAGTGAAGCCAGCAAATAGTCATGACTCATGAGTGCTCACTGGCCGTTGGGCCACAGTTGTGTGGCCCCACTCGACAGGGAAAAGACACATCCTCTGCTAGTGAGCTTGTCGCATCGCGTGTCGTCTGGCCGTTGAGGAGCAGCCACGTACATGGCCCCACACGTCAGTCACACTCACCAGGCCATAGCACTCGATCTCACTCAGCTCAGCTCAGCTCACCTGTCACTCAGTCAGAGAGAGAAGCTTCACTTGCAAAAAAGTCCCGGGAAGAATCCAAACGTTAGGAAAGGGACATGTGTGGAAAAGCCAAAAAGTAGCGAACGGCAGCCTCCGAGCGGACCAGCCGCCCAGGGGCAAATCGGTAACTCCACCTCCCGTGCCAACTGTGAGCCCGTGTCCTCTCCTCTCCCCCTAGCATTGCCGGTGGGGAAAATTCGTTTTGCAGTTAAGCCCCTGGGAGAAGGTGATATTACCATTACCGCCGCCGTCGTCGTCCCGAACCTGCCTTCTCTCCTGCGGCAATCTCTCTCCCTTCTTCAATCCCCAACCAAACCCCTCCTCCTCCGCTCTCACTCTCGCCCGCGTCGCAATCATACTCGTGGGGGCGTGGGGCGCGCGCTTTAATCCCTCCCAGGATTTCTGTGGCGTCCGCTTCCTCCACCCGGATTCCGCCAGGATTGAGTAATCGCATCGCATCCTCTTCATCTCCTCCCAATTCCTCTGTCCGTTCCATCTGGGTCGCGTTGCTTCTTTCTTCCCGATTTGCCGCCGCCGCCGTTGCCGCTGCCGCCATCCACTTCTTGTAGGAGTAGGACTCCGCCCTGACCGTCCGCCCGTCCTGTCCACCTGTCCTCCTCGCTTGCGTCCACGCCATTGCCGCGCTCTCTGCTAAAGCCGGCTGCTTTCTTGGGCCAGCCGGTCCGGGGCGTCGTCCCTGCCGGGCGTAAATGCGCGTCCGTGCAGAGGATCCCAGCCTCCGCCGCTCCAAATCCCGTCCTTGTTTGCCCCCAATTAAGAGCGGGAGAAGACGAATCTTCTGCGCGTGCTAATCCTAATAGTCGCCAGAGATGACGAAGTCGTCCTGACCAACTTCACTTCGCGCCGGCGGCTGCTCAGCTCTGACCCCCGAGCCCCCCACTGCTATGGGCTTCTCGACCCTCGCATGCCTCCTCCGGCTTCTGCTGGTGCTCATCGCCGCCGCCGCCGCCACCTCCCCGGCGGCGGCGCAGTCGCGGCCGACGTCGCCGGCCAGGATCCTCGACGCGGCGCTGCAGGACTACGCGTACCGGGCCTTCGCGCGCCCGCGCACCGGCATTGTCTACAACGCCACGCTCCCGGGCAACCTCACGGGCATTGCCGTCTCCGCGGTGCGCCTGCGCAGCGGCAGCCTCCGCCGGAAGGGCTTCGCGGGCTACTTCCAGTTCGGCGTGCCCACGGGCGTCGTTGTCCAGCCGTACGTCGAGCGGGTGGTGCTCGTGTACCACGACCTCGGCAACTGGTCCGACTACTACTACCCGCTCACCGGGTACACATACCTCGCCCCGGTGCTCGGCCTGCTGGTCTATGACGCCGCCAACCTGTCCGCTGTGGGGCTGCAGGAGCTCAACGTCGTTGCTTCGGGCGGTCCGATCTCGGTGAACTTCGGCGGCAATGTCAGGACGGTGCCGGCAGGCAGCGCGGTGCCAAGGTGCGTGGTGTTCGATTTGGATGGCATGCCGCAGTTCCGGGACCTGGAGGCAACCGATGTGTGCTCGACGTATCGCCAAGGGCATGTGTCGATAGTGGTGAACTCCAGTGAGATTGCTCCTTCTCCACCTCCACCTGGCGCGATTGCCCCGTCGATTCCGACCCCCGGAGGAAATAAGAAGGGAAGCTCAAAGGCGTGGAAAATTGCCGGCAGTGTGGTTGGGGCTGCCATAGCATTGGGGCTCCTGGCTGCGCTTCTGCTGTGTTTGGTGAGGTATAAAAGGGATAAGAAGCTTCAGGTGATGGAACGGAATGCGGAGGTTGGAGAGACATTGCGGATGGCGCAGGTTGGGCGGACGCAAGCACCGGTGGCATTGGGGACACGGACACAGCCGGTGATTGAGAATGATTACACTGCATAGTGGAGTTTTGGGTCTTCTGCGTAGTTCTACTAACATGAAGACTTGATGGTGATGGCTGGAGACGGGATTGTCCATTGGTTGCTCGACGCAGACAATTTTCCATATCAGCAGAGGGCAACGCCAGCCGCTAATTTCAGGGCCAAGGTTCTGCTCCATGAGGGTTCAGCACATTATTTGGGTGGGTTTGTTCGGAAGCTTAAGTTTTGTACTGCAAGCAATGGCTATTGTTCATGTTCATAGTTGCCATGTTCATATGTGAGGAGTTCCTTTCATCTCCAAGCAAGCAGGCAGTGGAGGGGAAATCTATGTCGTATGACTTGGAATCCTCAGTTATTCTTTTGGGGTATCTGTACTCAATAGAAAATGGGCTTGGCAATAAAGCTGAGGTAACATTCATTGCACATTGTGTCCTCACAGCATGAGTCAGGCGGATTCATGCTGTGTTGGAGAGATTCATTCATCCAGCTTCGATTCGATTTCATTTCATTTCTTTTTCTTCTCTGTTTCATGTTTAGACAGCTGCTGAGATGATGTAGTGCTGCACATGTTTACTTATCTGGTGTTGTGGTAATTAGTTTGATTGTGATCATCTAGATTTCTGTCCATTTATTTTACATCCGCTGTGATTGTTGTCTGGGAAACAACTTATAAGTTCTAAGTGTACATCTTTTATGACCTGACAGCAATATCAATTGTAGATCTTGTTAATGCCAAGCTTTGTCAAATTGCAATTTTCACTGATTGAAATGAAAAGAACAAGAAGTTAATGTCGACCATACCAGTCGGCAAAATAAATTTGAATTAACAGAGGGATTCATGACGGATATTCAAGAAGGTCTGGTTAATGTAATGGTTAGAAAAATTTGGAAGTTTTTTTTTTTTTTTGGAAAGGTCAGCAGGGAAGCTCCCTACCTTTTTTTTTTTGTATTTTCATTATATGAAGAAGGGTACAATATGTACAGGTTACAAGGCTCTCAGAGCCAAAAAGCAGAAAAAGGAAATACTTTATGTGAAATTCTCACACTAACTAGTAAGGGCATCCCTGATTTTCTGCTTGGCTTTTATGCAAACCAACCCAATCTCTTCCCTGAAGGCAGATTTCCGATTCTGAAGTTTTTTCTCTGCTAGTGTTCTGGCATTGTCAATTGCCTAGTTATGAATATTGTAGGCTTCATATATACTGTAGCTGTGTTAGTGTGGACCTAGATGTTCAATGAAGAAAAGATGCAAGTATGAGCTGTGTGCAGAATAAATATGAGCTGAACAGAAGGATTCAAGAATGCTCCGTTAGAAAAGTTCCAAAGCTTATCTTTTTCTCTGGTAGGGTTCTGGCCTGGGTGGCAATCCTCAAGTTGGTTTGAAATATTATAAGTTTTATTAGGTACAAGGGTTGTCAGTGGGGGACCTAGACGGTCAACGAAGAAAAGATGCATGCATGCGTACATTGAGTTCGTTTTGAACTCGTTACAGGTTTTCTGTGTTTATTATTGTTCATGGGCCTTGCCGATATTTTGAATCATGGAAGAGGAGCCTTACCTATGGAGTTCCATTCTGTTTCCTTTGCTTGTACCTGGTAATTTAACATGCATGATCTGTTGGAACTTGGAAGTGTAGACTGTTGGAACTTGGAAGTGTGTACAATGAAAGGGCATGAACAATCTGTGATGTCAGTACAAGAGCTCTCCAATCAAAAAAAAAGGGGCGTACCCAGTGCAGAGAGCTCTCGCTCTGTGCAGGGTCTGGGGAAGGGTGTCAGTGGCAAGCCTTACCCTTGCCTATGCAATGCGAGGAGACCGTGATTCGAACCCGGGACCTTCCGGTCACAGGCAGTAAGACTCTACCGCTTGCACCAGGCCCGCCCTTCTGCTCTCCAATCAAAAACAAAAAAAAAGAGATTGTGTGAGCAGATAGCATGAACAATCTGTGACACCAATATGAGATCTGGGCAAACAGAAACAAAACTGCATATGAGAGAGCATGAAGAATGTGTGATGAATATCAATATGAGGAAGGAGAGGTGGCCAGAGCTCCAGCTAGGCCACCCACTTTTTTTGGGGTTTCATTTCATGCTGGGAATCATGGGATCATGAGTGAGCTGAACTGACTCACACATGATGTGCACTTGTAGTTTAGGAATCAGTGCTGGGAATGTGGTTGCCACTTGGAATTAGGTACCCTTTGTTATGATGTGTCCCAAAGCCCGGTTCCTTTGTTCAAGGTAACGTGGTGCAGTGCAGTGCTGAAATGTGAAGCAACCTTGAGTTGAGGAGCAGTACTACTTTTTTTTTTTTGATAAGGGGAGTACTACTAAATTAGTAGCACTCGCTGCGTTCACAAGCATGTGTATGCATCTAGTGAGCCCGAGTCAGCTAGACCTGCGCACACGTGAGTGGTATCTGCTGCATGATCCTACAAGGTGCTGGCCAGGTGAGGCCAAGTATGCCAGCCAGAATGGTTTGTACTTTGTATTATACATTTGCTAGCTGTACTGTGCATCTGCATATAGACAGTAGTCTCTGATCTCATCTCTGGAGCTTGTTCTTGTGCTTCTTGATCTTACCACAGGGACATGGGAGTGTTGCCATTGTATCTTTCTTCACAGGTTGTTCTGTTCCATGATGAACTAGGGAGAAGGAAGGTTTTGTGTATGACTGTATGAGCTGTATGTGGTTTTGTGTGTTTGTCAGGAAGAAGGCAAAACAGAAGACTGTATGACTGTATGAGCTGTATGTGGTTTTGTGATTACGGAGGATGTTTTGCTGCTGGCGCCTTAGGCATTTGTATTGGAATCTTTGCTGCGAATACGCACCCAATTCACAGTCACAGCTCAGGTGCGCTGGCTGGCTGGCTGGCTGGCCTGGCCCTGGCCATATAATCTGTTTGTTTTGTAATATGCCAAGGGTGCAGCTTGCTGCTGCTGTATAATTTACTCCTACTACTGATGCTCTTGTTGGTTAAGTGTTGGACTACTGATGCTATGGGCTAATTAATGCCTGTAGTTTGTTTTCAGCTGATGACTTATTACTGTGTGCAAGTGAGCAGTGACAGTGTGGCGGGTAAACTTGAACCTGCTGCGTGCGTACCATGCGTAGCTGTAATCAGAGGAGTAGGCATGGTCTGCTTGACTGCTTCTCCTGCTGCTTGTAGTGTACGGAGTAGGAGTAGACTGTACACTAAGGCCATGTTTAGTTCCCCAGATTTCCTGAATTTGGTACTATGTAAAAAGAAGATTTCCCGTCACATTAAATTTGCGGTACATGCATGGAGTATTAAATGTTAACGAAATTAAAAACTAATTGCATAGTTTGGTTGTACTTTACGAGATGAACGTTTTGAGCCTAATTAGTCAACGATTGAACAATTATTACCAAATAAAAACAAAATGCTACAGTGTTTGAACAGTGCTGCCGAATCCGGCGGCGCCGAATCCGGCCTCCAACTAAACACGGCCTAACTGGAGTACGACAGACAGTGTTTTTCGGTGAAATAATTACAAAAGGCGAACGCAGCCCTCTCATCTCATGTTTTGATTGGCGAGTGGCGTCATGGGAAATGCTGTGGTAGGCCTGGTAGTCTCCCGTTCTTCCATCTCATGGTGTGTTGGTGTTCAAACAAATTTGATGGTGTTGTAAAAAAATGTTGATATATGTTTTTTTTAAAGTATTGATCGATAGTAGAAAATTTTGACTCGGAACAAAATTACAACTGCTGAAGTTTTTGAACAGAGTAACAAGAGAGGACACTGGTCAGGTCAGGTGGTCCGTGAGGGCACAGCAGATGGCAGGTGCCCAGTGTTAAATGGGGGGGGCCTGGGGTTAGTTGCTAATGAACTACAGTAGTTAATCCCTGGATTTTGGAACAGATAAATTACAGGCAGGTAAAAGGACTAGTACGGAGTATTCAGTGTCCGTTTGATTTTGAACGCACAGTTGACTCGTTTGACCTCACCTGGCGGGCTACAAGCCTACAAATCTACAATTACACTAGAGTAGAAAGAAGAATGAAAATAAAGAGCCGGGGCTCATCGTACTACCAACATATTAAAAAAAAAAAAAAAGAGTCTGTCTACTACACAATCATATGTTTTATGCAGTTTTAACATATGAATTTTTTTTGCACCATAGGATTAAGATCCAACAGTCTTCATCCTTCTTCTACCTCCAGCCTCCTTCTACCTCCAGACAATTCTAAATCACAAGATCATAGATCCACAGATCCCAAATCACAAGAAATATTTTTTTTATAAAAGGACAAATCACAGATCGCAGAGGAGGAGGAGATGCCTACCTGAAGCCGGATCCGCCGCCGCCACCACTGCCATGGCTGGTGCTTTTTTATGGAAGCATCAGTTCAAGCGCAACTAAGACTATGTCTGGTTTAGCTAAGGGCTTTTGTTGCCAAAAGACACAGAAAGCAAACCAAACAGGTAGAATTAGGAGCTGTTTTTTTTTTCCAGAAGCTTTTCGTGTAGTATAATTTTCGTATTATTTTAGACACTGCTTTTAGCTTTCAACTTTATACTTTTTCAAATAAGTACAAATATGAAAATATTGTTTCAAGGTAGATAAAGAGGAGGGTAGGTTTCATAGTTGTTTTAACTAAATACTTTAGAACTTTTTCTCTTTTTTATTTTGCCCAAGACTTTAGAACCTTTTCAGGTACATAGGTCACAACAAATTTTTCAGAGCTCACAGCACATTAGCTTTTTTACAGGAACCCAAGTTTGAACAAAACAATTCTTTTTTTTTTGAACAAATACACGCTGCGTATATTACCAAATAATGAAAACATACAGATACGCATACACAAACGACACACAGACACAAAGGATACATGGGAGGAAGCTGGCCCATCCAAACTACACAAAGGCCCTCAGCAAAAAATAAAAATTATTACATCCGGTATTAACCTTCGCCGCCGTCCTGTACAGAGGCGCAAGGCTTCTATGGGTCACTTGTACACAGGCCCAACAACTGGCCAGCTGTGTCGCACTATCCCAC